TGTAACACATATCCTGCTTTCCATTCTGAGGTCAGTACATCCTTGAAGTACACTGGCTGATTTAGTTCAGAAGTTTTTTCTATTGTCCAGTGTCTTTCTGCAGCTGTTTTTCCTTTTTCATCAGCATTAAGAAAGTTTAATGTTAATAAAGCATTATGTAATCTGTGTTTGGGTGTTTTGGTTCCTCCTGCCTGTTTATGGAGCATTTCTTTTAAAGTACGATTGGATCTCTCAACCACTGCTTGTCCTGTAGGATTGTGTGGTATACCAGTTATGTGCTTTATCTTGTAATACTCAAAAAACTGTTTTAATTTGCTGGAGACATATGCTGGAGCATTGTCAGTTCTTATTTGTGCAGGTATGCCCATAATGACCATTACCTCTAATAGGTGTGTGATAACAGAATCAGCCTTTTCAGAGCACAGAGCAGTAGCCCATTGAAACTCTGAAAATGTATCTATAGTGTGATGTACATATTTTAATTTTCCAAATTCTGCAAAATGAAACACATCCATTTGCCATATTTTATTCCTATTTATACCTTTAGGGTTACTGCCTGGTGGTAAATGAGTTTGGTTATAGAATGAACAAGTAGGACATTTCCTTACTATTTCCTTGGCTTGTTCCCAAGTGATAGAAAATACTTTTTTAAACCTTTACTGTTCACGTGGTGTTTCTTATAAAACTCTGAGGCTTCAAGTAAACTTCCTATCAATAAACGATCAATTTCATCATTCCCATGTGCTAGAGGACTGGGCAGACCTGTATGGGATCTGATGTGTGTTTTATATATATATATATAGGATGAGTCCTCTTTCTGATAGTATCTTGTAACTGTATAAACAATGAAGTTAATTCTGTATTGTCAGGAATAAATTCTGCAGTCTCAATGTGTAAAACGACTCTCTCTGCGTATTGTCAGTAACTACATTGAGGGGTTCTTTAAAATCCATAAGTACCATGAGAATGGCATACAATTCTGCCTTTTGTACAGAATTCTAAGGGCTTTGAATCACTTTGTTAATTTTTCCTGATTTATATCCTGCCTTACCTAATTTGTTTGCATCATTGTAGAATTATGAACTCCAGAAATAGGTGTCATGGAAGGATCCAAATCGTTTTCTTTATGAACTTGATTTTCTCTGTTTTTGGATAGTTGTTGCTAATCATTCCAAAAAAGTTACTGCAAGCTCTCTGTCAATATTCGCTATCTTTCCATAAGGAGGAAATTTCCTCATTAGTTAAAGGTACTATAATTTTTGTTGGGTCCCTTCCTATTAGCTGACGAAGTTTTAATTTACCTTTTATAATCAAGTCAGAGATCTTTTCTATATATGTTTTTAGTTTTTTATTCTGTTTATGTGGTAGGAATATCCATTTTAATATGATATTTTCTCTCTGTATCAAAATCCCTGAAGGATATTCTCTAGATGGTAATATAACCAGAATACAGTCTAGGTTTGGATCCACACGGTCCACATGTGTTTTTAGTATTCTCTTTTTTACCCATTTTAATTTCTTTTCAGCTTCAGCTGATAGTATTTGTGGACTATTTAAGTCCTTATCTCATTTTAAGGGCCATTTTTAGGTTTTTCAAATCATGTCCTTCTATTCCAATAATGGTTTGCAGTTGAGAAATCTCTTCTAGTAATTTTTGAAGATCATTAAGAGTCTGGTAGCGATCGATCTCTTCTGATCTGTATTTTTTTTTTTTTGGTCTAATTTTTTGTAGACCTATTTTATATCCTAAGTAGTTGATAGACTCTCCTTTTTGTATTTTATTTTTTTAGGTGTAATTTGTAATCCCCAGCGAGGTAAAACTTCCTTTACTTTCTCAAACATTTTTTAAAATATTTTTCCTTTAGAGTCAGCTAACAATATATTGTCTATGTAATGATAGATTATGGATTGTGGAAACTGTTTATGAATTATTTTTAATGGTTTTTGTATGAAATATTGGCACAGGGTGGGGCTATTTAGCATTCCCTGTGGCAAAACCTTCCATTGATATCTCTTCACCGGTTGAGAATTGTTATAATTAGGTACCGTGAAGGCAAATTTTTCTTTTTCTTGTTCTTGTAAAGGTATAGTGAGGAAGCAATCCTTTAAATCAATAACTATAATAGGCCATTCTTTGGGTATCAAAGAAGGCAAGGGCATTCCAGGCTGTAGAGAGCCCATTGGCTGGATAACTTTATTGATGGCTCTCAGGTCTGTAAGCATTCTCCATTTACCAGATTTTTTTTTGATCACAAATACAGGAGAATTCTAAGGGCTGGTTGATTCCTTGATATGTCCAGCATTTAGCTGTTCCTGGACCAGGCTTTCTAAAGCTTCTAACTTCTCAGAGGTTATAGGCCATTGTCCTACCCAGACAGGTTCCTCTGTTAGCCATTTTAAAAGTAGGGCTTTTGGTTCCTCTGTTTGTTCAGCATTTGTATTCTGTTTTTGTACAGCCTGGATATTTGGTATCTGTCTTGTATAGTACTTTATAATATTTTTTCTACAATCATGAGGTCGTTTATGGTTCCTATCTGATACTGGAGGAATGTTAATCTGTGTATTCCATTGCTGTAATAGATCACGACCCCATAAATTTATCACTACATCAGCAACATGTGGTCTCAACCTTCCTCTCTGTCCTTCTGGTCCTATACATTCAATCCATCTCATGCTTTGTTTTTACCTGAGACAGGGTTCCAATCCCTAAGAATTGAACATTTACCTCATGCAGGGGCCATCTTCGAGGCCAAGATTTATTAGATATGATAGTTACATCCGCCCCTCTGTCCAGGAGACCGTCAAACAGTCTATTATTCATCTTAACTATCAATCTAGGCCTATGACTATTTATAGTGGTTTGCCAAAATATAGGTTTTTTTATTTCCTTCTGTCATGTTTGATTCAACTTCCATCACTAGTTTGTCATCCAGAGCAGTATGAGTTTTTATAATAGGCACAGAATTTTCTAATTGTCTTCCACTGTGACTAGGAATGTTTGGACCACCTGTGACATGGGGGCCTTCGAGAGGCCCCCGAAGGAGTTTCCCGATGGTAAAGGGTTTCCTTGCTTGTCTCTGGTCGATCTACACTCATTTGTCCAGTGTCTGCCTTTGCCACACCTTCTACATAACCCAGGAGGCTGAGGCCTTCTGTTTGATTCATTCCTGGGAGTGTCATTTCTAGGGAAGCTTTGCCTACAATTTCTTTTTAGATGTCCTATCTTACCACAGTTATAACATCTGACATGTTGATATCTCTTCAAACCTCTGGAGATGGCTTCTCCTACCCAAGCTTCTAAGTCACCATAGTAAGGAACTCTGTTATCTTGATGTCTTCTCAGACCTTTAGATATGGCTTCTCCTACCCATGCTTTAGTTTTATTGTCATTATATTCAGTGTTGCCTGTATATAGGACCCATTCATCCAAGGGTGCTGATCGCATTTTTAAAGGCCAAAGCACCTGTTTGTATTGAGGATTCACATTCTCATAAGCTAAAGATTCTATGAGTATTTGCCTAGCATCTATGTCTGCTACCTCTAATTGTACTACCCTAGATAATCTTTCTAGAAAGACACTAAAGTGTTCTCTAGGTCCTTGCCTTATCTTGGTATAGGGTTCTATCCTCTCTCCTAATTCATGAACCTTATCCCAAGCATTCAGAGCTGCTGTACTGCATAGAGACAAGATTTGTTCATCTCTCACTAAATCTGGTCAGCTGATTCTGTGGGTTTCCCCATCATGGTCATGACTCCTTTGTTCATATTATGGCTCCCCTCCCCTCACTTTGGTTTTAAACCAGGAGCTATGCCCAATGGTTAGTAATAGATCTCCACATCTGCTTCCAACTGTTTCTGGAAGAGGGATCAAACTTCACTAGGGTTGTGGATTGTAGGCTGTATATCTTGCTTTATGTTTGGTATTCACTTATGAGTGAGTAGATACTATATTTTTCTGGATTTGTGTTACCTCATTCAGTATGTTTTCTTCTAGTTCTCTCCATTTGCTTGCAAATTTAAAGATGTCATTGTTTCTTACCACTGAGGAGTTCTTCATTGTGTAAATGTACCCCATTTTCTTTATCCATACTTCAGTTGAGGGGCATTTAGGTTGCTTTCAAGTTCTGACTATTATAAACAATGTTGAACAAATGAACATAGTTGAGCAAATGTCCTTGTGGTGTGTTGTGAGTGTGCCTGCTTTGGGTATATGCCCAACAGGGTCTTGAGGTAGTTTGATTCCTGACCTTCTGAGAAATTGATATACTGATTTCCACAGAGGCTGTACAAGTTTGCACTCCCATCAGAAATGGAGGAGTGTCCCCCCCTTCCTCCACATCCTCTCCAAAATAAGCTGTTATTAGTGATTTTTACCTTAGCTATTCTGATAGGTGGTATTTTGATTTGCATTTCCCTGATGCAATGTTGAACATTTTTTTTTTTAAGTATCTTTGCACCATTTGAGATTGTTCTGTTGAGAAGTCTGTTTAGGCCTGTATCCCATTCTTTAATTGGATTGTTTGGATCATGTAGGTTCAGTTTATTTATTATTGGTAGGAACTGGTTCTTCTAATAGGAAGGATAGTTTATCTGCAAAGGAGTCACCAGGTAGATCATTTATGCTTGCAAGTCCTTCTGAAGATGATGTCTAACTGCCTTCTATTGAAATCTGATATTACCCATAGTGAGGGCAAACTCATGGAAAAGACTATACTGTGTTCGGGTAGCTTTTTAAAACTTGAAGGTAATTCTTTGTAAATATTTGTATGTTAAAATGTGTGTATATCTCTGTGTCTGTGTTTTGTATGTGGCATTTGCATATGGCTTTTCTTGGAGGTCACCAAGTGGGTATCAGATTCACTGAAGCTGGAGTTACAGGCATGTGGGTTATGGGAACCAAATTCAGGTTGTTTGGAAGAGTAGCAGGTGGTTTGAAATGCTGAGCCAATTCCTCAGCTCCTGGTGTCATTTGTAAACATGTGTGTCTCCTTCTGTCTTAGATGTTTCATGGAACAATCACAAAAGAGCTTACCAGTCATGAAGAATGGAGCCACTACAATGAAAATATCATAGAAGATCAGAAAGACTTTGTGTTTGTAAAGTATAATGGCCTCCATCTGAAGTCCATGGAGAACCTGCAGTCCTGTATCTCCCTGAGGGTGTGCATCTTCTCCAACAACTTTGTCACTGATATCCAGCCACTGCAGAACTGCATAAAGCTCATCAAACTTGATCTCCATGGAAACCAGGTGAGCTCGAAATACTAGTCTTTATGCCAGTGAACTTATCCTGTTAATCCACAGCACTTCCCCCCACCCCAACCCCCCCCCCCCCCGCCATTGAAAATATAAAGACAAGTTTGAAATCATATACAAACGAGGCACACAGGCACAAAATATAACATATAATCCAAACATTTTAGACAATATGTAAAAATGTATGACATGTTTCACTTCTCCTACTTTTAAATTATGCGTGTATAGAGTCTCTCTGTGCCTATGCAAAGTGTGTGTAGCTTCCCACGGAAGCCATGAGAGGGCATCCAGTTCCCGGTGTCTGTAGTTAAAGCGGTTCTGGGAACTGAACTCCAGGAAGCGGAAGAGGAGTGTCACTCTGATCCACTGAGCCCTCTCCCCTGTCTTTGTTCCACTGCCTTTTAGACGGTTTTGCATTAAGCATTCATGTTTTTATTTGCATTTGTATTTGTGTGTGTGATTGGAGCTCCTCATGCCAGAGAAGGCGGCAGGTCCCCTGGAGTGACCCACAGTTGTGAGTTGTCAAGTGCGGGTTTGGGTCTAGTGGAAGAGCCGCCAGAGCTCCTAACCCCGAAGCCATCTCTTCCGCGCAGTCTAGATGAATAATGCATCCTGAGTTCTCAGTTCTTCATGTGAGGAACCTCATTTGGAATTGTACTAAGAACTTTTCACTGGAAGATCTAGATCTTTCCATGCCCGTGAGTGTGTGCATACATTCCTTATGTTACTAACTGCAATGCATTTCACATGCCCATTGTGCCCTGTCTTTGCAGTCATCAGGTGGACACTTGGAGACCCTGCTGTTATTTATTAGGCACTCACCATTTGCAAAATACTGAAATTTAGGTGATGTTAAATGTTCCACCATTTTTTTCTTGCAGATTTTATGAACCATATATATTTTAAATATTTCAGATAAAGACTCTTCCAGACCAAAATTTTTGGGGTGGACTCAAGAACCTAAAACTCCTCTATCTCCATGACAATGGTTTTTCCAAGCTGAAGAACATCTGTGTGTTAGCTGCGTGTGCAAGCCTTATCGGGCTGACCATGTTTGACTGCCCCGTGAGTCTTAAGAAAGGCTACAGGCATGTTCTTGTCAACAGTATCTGGCCTCTCAAAGCCCTGGACCACCACATTATATCTGATGAAGAAATCATTCAGAACTGGAATCTTCCAGAGAGATTTAAAACATTCAACCACAGGCTATTCTTTAACCTTTGCCCAGCATTGATAAAGGTAACTCAATGAATAGTTCCTTCAAAATCAGTTTATATATATAAAATTTCAGCTCTAAATGCTATACATAAATATATAATATGTTTAACAGTAAGGTTTCATATTTTTTATAAAAATATTCACTGGTGAAAATATAAGCAGTGGACTTTCTATCTGACAGTTTATTAAAGTTTGCATATGTCCTATGCAAACATGTCAATTCTAAAATCAAGTTGTATCTAAATACATTTCAACTGAAAGATATTAATTTTGTATAATTATTGTGGGGACTATTTTTATTGTTTATATGGCATACGTTTATACAACTTACATTATTATTGGAAAAGGGTAAAAGTACTTACTTGCTATTCAGTTGATTAAGTTTAATTGGAATAACCAAATGTTTTTGACATAAAATACCGAAAGTTCTTAGGAATACTTGAAACCCTGAGATTATACATTTTTGTATATATTTAAAAGGATAACCACTCTTCATAGCACTTGAGTTTTGGAGCAGACAAAATTTAGAAGGAAAGCTTAATTCTGCAGCTCTTAGAAAAAGATTAATTAAGCATAGGGCAGAATCTGAACATGGGTTTGGAGGACAGTGTGTTCAAATGTGACAGAAATACAAGGAACCTGCATTTTGAGGGATTACTAGGTGTCTTCATCACTGCCAAAATCACGGAACTTTGAACAGATTAAGAGAGTTGTGACAAAAGGTGATGTGACCTCGTGAGACCATCACTACATATGTGATCTCTCAGTGACCAAATGTAATTATGTATTACATGTCTATGTTTGCACAGGAACTCAGAGTAAGAACAAGGGTTAGTGTGGACAGTGATGAAGTTGGGAGAGCGTGTGGACTCTGATCCTGGGAAGGGTGAATCAAAGCTGCTGTAACTGCTAGAGAGCATGGCTTTACAATATTAGTTAAATACATTTGGGTTTGGTAATTATTTTCTAATAATTAAAACATGGGGTAGCATTAAGCCATGTGTCTTAACCTGCACCCTCAAAGCAAAGGGTCAGAGTAGCTGAGGTTCCTTTAAGGGAGTAATAAAAAGTCTGGGGAGGGAGACAGACGGGATAACCAGGAGAAGCAGATGAAGAGCCTACCCTTCCCAGTACAGTGCAGTTATACTGACTGCAGATATAGCCGTTCCCTCAAACTGTTGACTCTGCACACAAATGACAAAGGCAGGCGGGAGGGGAAGGAAGGGAAGAGCAAGTAGCCAACAAGATGAAAGGTGTGCGAAGCTAGTCTCCTCAGCTCTAACAGATGAGAAGACCTCTCTGAAAAGATCTATTCGGTCCTCTGCATCCCCTTTGTCAGGATCAGTACTGTGAGGATTAAAAGCTAACACATTGTAAGATACAGTGTTGCAATGCTGTGAATTCAAGTCTGTTCCCCTCCCAGGGTCTCACAGCCAACAGCATATCACAAAGAACAGTGCAGACATAACGGTCTATGTTTAATACATAGAATGTAGGGGGAGAAGTAAGGAAGCAGATTTCTAATATTTTGAACATGAGTGACTGGCATAAAATAGAGTGGTTACATGTAAATTTGCAGTATAAATATGAATTTTCATCCGGTCCCATTACGTTTCTGTTTTGCATTTTAATGGGGGAAAGATCAAATATGCTTGGAAATGAAGAGCTAAAATTCAGAGGGAAGGTTCTGGGCTTGTGGTGTGAACCCAATCATTTGCTTGAAGTGATAGATGGCCTAACATGCTCAGGACAATGGAGAGATGGATAAAGACTGAGATAATGAGCAGCCATTGAAACATATTGAAACATATTCTCACTTTGCATGTAGGAAGTACTAGAACTAGTGAGGACAGAGGGAATTGATCTTGGTGAGAAGAAAAGCAAAGACACAGCAATTACTATCAGGTTGGTTAAGGAAAAACAGGTTTCAGAAAGAAAATGTAAAATGTTTCTAAGGGCAGAAGAAAATTAGCACCAAGACAGCATGGAAAGGTGGGTGGGTATGAAAGAACTGACCCAGGTTGAGCCCCCACCCACAAGCCTGCAAGTGTCAGGAATAAAAGGACAGAGGGCAGTGTTACTGCCCCTATAGAATATCTCCGCAGAAGTCTACACCGAGCAAAATAAAACTAATTATAGTAAATAGGATGCAGGGAAGAAAGCATTTTGACTACACAACAAAAAGATTAAAATTTTCAGAAATATGGTTATAGTTGAAATCATTTTGGAGTCAATGATGTTTCAGGGAGAGATTAATGGGGCCTCCCCTCCCTTCTGAATTGCTGGCTAATGTTGGAGTCCAGAGCAGGGAAATCATTGTCTTCATTTCTGTACCACTAAAGTGACAGCAGGGCTCCAGGGGAGAGTTCTAACCCCATGGTTACACAGATGACCTTGTTGGAAGCAATGCAGCGAAAAACAAAGAAATCAACTCAACGTTGTCCATATGTGTGGGTCTTATTGGGAAGAGGTGGCTAATAGAGGATCGAGGGAGATGGGTGTTGTAATAATCAGAATTATGAAATGGTCAAAGAATAAACTCAGTAGTTTCTACAAAATAATTTCAGTGTGTACTAAATACAGCACACACAGAACAAACTCTGAGCTCCGGGCTCAGAAGATGCCCTAGGGGGCACGGACTGAGAGATCTGCTGAGTAGTGGCTTGGGCTTTGCCTTTTGAGTGGTCAGAGCTGCTGCAAACAGTATTCTTAAGTCACTAACTGGCAATGCAAAGACATAGCAGAGAATATGTGTGGAGCAATGCATGCGAGTTTATGGACGGTATTTATTGATTAATGCTTAAAACATTTACTTCAGAATATAACATTGTTCTTATATAATGAATGTAAAATAATATGAGAATTAGAAACAATGAACATTGTCCACACACTCTCAAGTGTTTTTAATGAGAAGAGCATGAATGTGGAGAGTATGGGGTGTATTCTTTTTGCAATAGAAACAATCCAGTAGTGTAGTTCAAAATTTTGCCCATAACTTAACAATAGGTCTCACATGCTTTAAATTGTGACATAAAATGAATTCTAAACTTGTTTTCTTTTGGTAGCGTTGTAAAGTATGTAAACTTGAAGGAAAAGAATGGACCCTTTATCATGTGGGTCAAAGTACTTTTAGAAATCTGAAGTGAATAGTTACAGATGATCAAGGAATATGCTTATAATTTATTTTTATATGTTATTTATCATCTGTCATCTATATCTATCTATAATCTATCTATCTATCATTGATCTATCATGTAATATAGCATCATCTCCTATCTACCTACCTCTCTATCTATCTATCATATACATCTATCTCTGTATCATATATCTGTTTACTATCTACATCTGCCCATCTAGTCTTTGTAAATACAAATGTGACCTGGCTATGTAAGTAATGGTATCACCTGGGACTGCATTTTGTTTTCATGTAATAATGAACTAATTATTCAAGCACTATTGTTTATAATGTAATAAAAATTCAGGTATAGGAATTAAATCTGTCTAGTTACTAATTGAATAAATAAAAAAAGCATCTACTCTAGCTTCCCATTTGCTATCTTTAGTTATTGTCCATTTTCTGTGACATGCAATGACTTTCTTCATGTCCATCCATGTACTTAGTGAGACTGAGGGTATTGTGAGGTACAAATATTCAGGTGTGCTAAATCTAACATGTTATCTATCTATAGCTTGATGTTAGGAAAATAGCAAGTCTTACAGTCTTACCTAATTGACTTCTGCATCTGTCAAAAATTCTGGTGATGTAGAAAGAGCAATATTTTATGTAGACACATTTTATTGTTTAACAGAAAGCTATATTCTACAAATTAGAAAGAAGAGATGATAGATCTTGGAAGGTAGCTAGTACTTGTCACAGATGATGAGTATAGGAATGTTAATTCAAGTATTTAAAATCTGTTGTTCTTATTCTCGATGAAAATATTAAAATACAAAATTTTATCCATGTAATTATCAAATAATAATTTAATTTTCCTTTGTTAATAATTTGTTTGTTTATTTGCTTGTTTTGGTCTTTTAGAATTGAGAACTTATTTTTATATTAGGTTTCCCAGGCTAGTCTGACTTATTCCCATATGGAATCCAAGAATGTTCATTGCTTTTTTTAACATAGTACTGGCCAATGTGTTCAGCACAATAGCAAATAAAAGAACTAGAGTCTTGGAGAATAGGAAAGGTGGCACAGAGCCCAAACTTCACTGAAATGACCGCTCATGTGGAACATCTTACAACTTGTTACCAGGTCTGAAGATGCTAGTAAAATGTGAAATTCAGACATTTCTATATACCAACTATAAAAGGAAGCCAAACCATAATAAAATTATATCCACTCAAAATGAACAAACAAACAGATAACACCAAAAGTGAAATCACTCCTTAAAGATTTATATGACAGTGTGTGTCACTGGGTATAGGGTGCAAAGAGAGTTTAGTTTGGTAACAAAGCTACCTGCTCTATGACCAATTAATCCATTCATGTATGCAGAATCCTCAGAATCCAATTATGGCCAAAGCCAGTGCCTCCAGCAGAACATTAACATATAAATTTATGAATTGTTTCCAACATGAGGAATTTGGAGGATACATTCAAGCCATACCATTTACAACCCCCTAATTTATGCCTTTATATGAAATAGACTTATTTCAATTTAGTAATCCAAAAGTGAAGCCCCAAATCCAAAATCCAGAGTCTCGTCTAGACCAAATGTGGTATTTGCTTTAGGTAGATGTGTACCAGCTGTAGGATTCAGCAACTTACCTACCCAACATCTCAATCCAGAAAGAGAAGGGGGCACTTAGACGGAAGTAGCAGGCTTTACAGGATCTCTTGAGAAAGTTTCAACCACACATTTCTGACTCACACTGCCCTAATGTAGGATGTTTATACTGACTTTGTCCTAATGACAAGTACTCTTTCTGAGATGCGAGTTTGAGGTTAACTAGAACATCCTTAGAAGTCTAAGTGGAAGGAAGTATCCCTGTGTCTGTTTCTATTCAGTTCT